AAGTCCAGTCAAGTCCTCACGGCGCAGGCTGCAGTAGCCACTCCAGGAGGCCAGGACTCCGGGTTCCGACGTCAGTCCTTAAGTTAGGGTTTAGGGTTTAGGGTTTAGGGTTTAGGGTTTAGGGGTTAGGGGTTAGGGGTTTAGGGTTTAGGGTTTAGGGTTTAGGGTTTAGGGTTTAGGGTTTAGGGTTTAGGGTTTAGGGTAGCTAGGGAAGCTTAGGGAGCCTTCGGGAGCAGGCGGGAGTATTGGGGACCTTGGGTTGCACACCCTTCTTGAAGCCCCCCTACCCCAAAAACCCTTTAAATGTGGGACCACCCTTTTGTCCTGCCGGCCACGTAGTCCGTGGCTTGGGGTTCGGGGGTTTAGTGCCTCGCGTGAACCCTACACACCCGACTCTCAATCCAGAGCCCCGAATCTTTTTTTCTCTTCCCCCCCACCCCCCCCCCCTCCCCCCTCCCCCCACCAAAGAGTACCAAGGGGTGAGGGTGACGGTTTCTGCAATCCCCCCCCCCCCCCCCCGCCCTCCCCAAGCAATAGAGTCCCGAGGCACCCCCAAACAGACCCTCCAATAGTAGGACTCCACTATGATGAGGACCCCAATAAGGTACCCCCCCCCCCCATTTTCGGAAATCCCCATGCCATGTTCGTTCTTAAGGAACCCTTTTGTCCAGGCTTGTGGGTGTTGGCTGGAAGTCCCTGGGCGCAGGATTTTTAGGCTGCGAGTTTAAGGGGATGAGGGTTAATTTTTCAGGGTTTAGGGCTTAAGGGGTTTAGGCTTCAGGGTTTAGGGGCTTAAGGGACTTGAGGGTTCGGGATTAGGGTTTAAGGTTTAGGGTTAGGGTTTAGGATTTAGGGTTTAGGGTTTAGGGTTTAGGGGTTAGGGGTTAGGGGTTAGGGGTTAGGGGTTAGGGGTTAGGGTTTAGGGTTCGGGAGTGATTGTATACTCTAGGAACGCAGGGCTTTGAGGCATGCCCCGGGTTCAGAAATGTCGGGTTTGAGTGCGCGCGCAGAGGCTTGAAGAACCCCTCCCTAAGCCCTCCCCTACAGCAAAGGGGTTTGGGGCTTGGGGTTTGGGGTTTAGGGTTTAGGGTTTAGGGTTTAGGGTTTAGGGCAGCAAAAGCAAAGGTTCCGGCGAACTCCAACCCTGAACCCTCAAACCGCAGCCCGAACGCCGTGAGGCTCCGGCGCGCCGGCGGTTCAAGAGGCCTCCTGGGAACCAACCCTGTCCCAACCTGAACTGAACCCCAAACCCTAAACCCCAAGCCCTAAACCCCAAACCCTAAACTCAGGGCCTAGGCCGCCCCCCTACAGAAGGGGGGCGGCGCTTAAGCCCTTCGACCTCTATGGCGAAAGTGGACCCAGGTCGCTGCCCGCCTCCGTACCGGGCCGCTACCAGAGCAGGTTCTCCTACGGACCAGTACTGGTCCCACAGGCCAGGAGGACCTGGACCCCTCACCGCAGCGTGTCCAGGGACCAGGGGGCCTCAGGGCTGGTCCAGGCAGGGCGGGCGCTCAAAAAGTGCTTTTTGGCCTCAGCTTTTCTGCTCTCCACTCCCCTGGCCCCCCCCTGGCCCCCCCCCTGGCCCCCCCCTGGCCCCCCCCTGGCCCCCCTGGCCACCCTCCCCCCTCTGCCCCCCCCCCCTAGCCCCCGGCCCCACCCCCCTGGCCGCCTTGACCCGCCGCCCTGACCCTGTTCCCCCTCTGCCTCTGACTCCCCTGACCCCTTTGCCTCCGACCCACCCCCGAACTTCATGAAACTGAATAAGTTTTTAAAAATGAACTGTTTCCTTGAGTTTAGGCCTAAACCCTAAAAGGAATAGGTTTGGGTGGCTTTGCCGCCTTGGACGGCGTGGGGTGGGAGAAATGTATTAGATGGCCCTCCACAATCGGGCCAAAGCTGCTCTTCGCACCTCACGAAGCTTTCGAGCTTGTTCCGAAACCTAACCTTCACAACACCTACGCCCTATCACAGCAAACCCTAAACCCCAAACCCTAAACCCCAAACCCTAAACCCCAAACCCGAAACCCCAAAACCTGAGTTCCGGGTTTCAGGGCTCTAGGGATTTGGGGACTTACTCTGGAGTAGTTGCGGTCACATGGTGCCTCGGTAGAGTTGGAGGACTGCAGGGTTTAGGGTTTAGGGTTTAGGGTTTAGGGTTGCTGGTGTAGAAATTTCGGGCTTCGGGACTAGATCTCAAAGCGCTGAAGAGGGTCTGCAGTAGGGTTTTCGGGGCGTTCGCCATGAGAAAGCACCCCAAACCCCAAACCCCAAACCCCAAATCCTAAACCCTAAACCCTAAACCCTAAACCCTAAACCCTAAACCCTAAACCCTAAACCCTAAACCCTAAACCCTAAACCCTAAACCTTAAACCCTAAACCCTAAACCCTAAACCCTAAACGCCAACGGGAATATAAGCCAAAAGTACCCTAGAACCTCCAAGCAGTAGAGGACTCTGTGGGGACGCTGGGAAGAACCTCAACGCACTCAAAACAAACACAAGCCCCCTAAGCGCCTAAACGGTTGCGGGTTGAGGGTTTAGGGTTTAGGGTTTAGGGTTTAGGGAATCCCTAGAATGACCACCCTGAAGCCACAACCCCAAAAACCAACAAGCGGGAGGGACCGCGGCTCGACCAAGTTGAGCTGGGCCGCGCCCCGAGACACAGCAAGACAAGGGAAGGTGAGCAGTAGGGTCAGTAAGGTTTAGAACCCTCAACCCTCAACCCGTAAACCCTATACCCTATAACCCTAAATCCTAAACCCTAAACCCAATGATCCTCAACCCCCCAAACCTGATGCTTGGGGTTTAGGACTCAGAGGGCTGAAAGACTTTCTGCCCAAGTTATCCCACTCACAACACCCTAAACCCCAAACCCTAAACCCCAAAACCCCAAACCCTAAACCCTAAACCCCTTTATGGCCCCAAATCCCACGAACCTTCAAGTAAGGCTCTGAGGCCGCCGAGGAGATAGACCTCGAGCCGTGGCTGAGGCCTTTTCGAGGGTTTAGGGTTGAGGGCTTGGGGCTGGTGAGTGTGTGAGTGTGTGAGGGTTTAGGGTTTAGGGCTTAGGGTTTAGGGTAGCAAACAAGAAAAGGGGGGCTGGGGGGGGAGGAGGGAGGGAGAACACTAAGCCCTAAGCAGAGACGGGTTCGGGTAAGGGTGGGAAGGGCTACGAAGCCAACAAGAACAACAGCTCTTGGAATCTTCGCCAAAACCCTAAACCCTAAACCCTAAACCCTAAACCCTAAACCTTAACCCTAAACCCTAAACCCTAAACCCTAAACCCTAAACCCCCTATGAGAACTGAGCTCCGTGGCGCAGGCCGATCCCAGAAACTGATGCCGACTACACCGAGGCGGCACCTGTGGTTTAGGGTTTAGGGTTTAGGGTTGAGGGTTTAGGGTTTAGGGTTTAGGGGTTATATAGGGGTTTAGGGTTCAGGGGCTAAGGGTTTAGGGTGTAGCATCTTTGCTTCTGGGCTCACATGTTTAGGGCTTTGCGTTGCGGCAGAGGAATGGACGCGCTTGATAGGGTTCTTAAGGGAGGTGGGGTTCAAGGGGGGTACGAAACCTAAGGTTCCCAATTACTCCCTGCTACTCTGTAAGGCTGCCTAAGCTTCTGTAAGGTTCCCTACTAATTAGGTACCTACCCCCCCCCCATGGACCCCCCTCCCTTAAGAACCCTATAAACCTTGTGTCGAAAAGGCTGGTCGCCAAGGCATTCCTCCCTGAAAACCTAGGCCCAACATTCTTGCCAAGCCCTATAACCCTGAACCCTCGACCCTAAACCCGAAAAGCTGTACAACCCTTAAAGCCCTTCAGCCTTTTGGCGCCGTCGCTGAAGTCCCCACCCATACCCACAAGGCCAAAAAGAGCAGATATTGGGTACTCAACACCCTGAACCCTAAACCCTCAACCCTCAACCCTAAACCCTAAACCCTCAACCCTAAACCCTAAACCCTAAAGGCCCCAGACGGCTGGTGGTGGAGTGAAGCGATCTGGTCTGCCACAGTGTCTCTGATCAACTTGCAGGAGGCACAGTTTTTGTAGGTTTTAGGGTTTAGGGTTTAGGGTTTAGGGTTTAGGGTTCAGTGTTCAGTGTTCAGGGTTTGGGGTTTAGGAAGTTATAGGGTTTAGGGTTCAGGGTTCAGGGTTTAGGGTGTTCAGGCGAATTTGGGGCTCATATTAAACAGCTTGGTGCGTGGATTCTCGCGTGGAACTAGCTGACAGACCAGGAAGTGGATGCCAAAGGGAACTTCTCTCAGGAGTCGTACCGGCGTTCCTCCGGATTCTGGACCCTGCCGTAGCCGCAATGATACCAATCACCGCAAAAGGGAACCTATCCTAGAACAACCCCTCCCCCACCTACCCCCTCCCCCCCCCCCCCCCCCCCCCCCCCCCCCGCGTGTGAGCCATGCGTCCTCAAGAAGAAGCTGGGCCCTAAACCCCAAACCCCAAACCCCAAACCCCAAACCCCAAACCCCAAACCCCAAACCCCAAACCCCAAACCCCAAACCCCAAACCCTAAACCCTAAACCCTAAACCGAATGACACGTCGCCGCGCATGGCAGCCCTTCCCTTCACTTTGCCGTTAGACTTTTCGACCGGCGTCCTATTTTGGTTTAGGGCTTGTACGGTTTAGGGCTTATAGGGCTTAGGGCTTAGGGCTTGTACGGTTGAGGTTGGGATCTTCCCCCCTTATGCTAACAGTCCTTAATTGTAATTCTCATAGGGGATACTATAATCCCTATTAAGGACTGTTAGAGCATAAGTGGGAACATCTCGAGGTTGAGGGTTTTTAAGTGCAGCTAGCTTCAGAGGGTTTAGGGTTTAGGGTTTAGGGTTTAGGGTTCAACCTTATATCCGGGTTCAGGGTTTACAGGGCTTAGAGTTTAGCATTTCCGGGTTCAGGGTAACCCGTATAACCCCGCTAGGCCTCAACCTGTTCCTCCTAAAGCTTAGGTGGTCAGGTTTCGCAGCACGATCTCCCTGGATCCCGGCCATGTCACTTGTGATTTCTGTGACCCTGCTAAGTGGCAAAACCGTTTCGCTGGAAGCAGAACCGGACGAGTCCGTAGAGACATTCAAGAGCAGAGCACAGGAAGCCCTGGCAGTTGGCAGGGGCAGACTAGTGGACTCCACAGGAGGCGTTCTGGATGAAGCAGCCATTCTTCAGAAATCTGGGCTGCGCAGCGGTGACACGCTAAGCTTGAGCATGAGCCGTGTTTGTGTTCAGGGCCACAACGGAGGTTCCTTTGCCGCCATTCTTGGCGATGGGTTCCTTGTGACCTGGGGTAGACCCGAGTATGGTGGCGACGGCGGTGCTGCGCAAGCTCTGCTGAGGGACGTGCAGCAGGTCCAAGCTACTGAGCAAGCTTTTGCTGCCATTCTCGGCGATGGGTTGGTTGTGACCTGGGGCGATCCTGACTTTGGCGGTGACAGCAGTGCTGTGCGAGACCAGCTGAAGGACGTGCAGCAGATCCAGGCTACCTGGCAGGCTTTTGCTGCCATTCGGGGCGATGGGTCTGTAGTGACCTGGGGTCATGTTGAGCATGGTGGCGACAGCAACCACGTGCAAGATCAGCTGAAGGACGTGCAGCAGATCCAAGCTACTCGCAAGGCTTTTGCTGCCATTCTGAGCGATGGTTCTGTTGTGACCTGGGGCAGTTTGCGCCACGGAGGCAACAGCGGTGCTGTGCAGCATCAGCTGAAAAACGTGCAGCAGATCCAGGCATCTCTTTTCGCGTTTGCTGCCATTCTTGGCGATGGGTCTGTTGCGACCTGGGGCGAGGCCGACCGTAGCGGCGACAGCAGTGACGTGCAGTGTGAGCTGAAGGACGTGCAGCAGATCCAAGCTACCCACAGGGCTTTTGCCGCCATTCTGGGCGATGGACGTGTTGTGACCTGGGGCGAGCCTTCCAAGGGCGGCGACAGCAGTGATGTGCAGGATCAACTGAAGGGCGTGCAACAGATCCAGGCTAGCTACTTTGCTTTTGCTGCCATTCTGTGCGATGGGTCGGTTGTGACCTGGGGCGAAAAAGGTGCTGGCGGTGATAGCAGCGATGTGCAGCATGAGCTGAAGGACGTGCAGCAGATCCAAGCTACCCACTCAGCCTTCGCTGCCATTCGGGGCGATGGGTCTGTCGTGACTTGGGGCTGCACCTTTCAGGGCGGTGACAGCAGCACCGTACAAGACCGGCTGAAGGACGTGCAGCAGATCCAGGCGACCTGGGGGGCTTTTGCTGCCATTCTTGGTGACGGATCTGTTGCCAGGATGCCCAGTCGTACCCTTCTTCCCTTTTTTGGGGGGGGTTTGGGCTCCCTTCTAAACCCCCTGTAAGCAAAAAAGGGCACCCTTTTCAAGCCTAGGCTACTGGGCAGCCTAGGTTTTGACCTGGGGCGATCCTGCCTGGGGTGGTGACGCCGGTGGCGCGCAAGATCACCTGAAGGATGTTCAACAGATCCTCGGTAGGCCTTTGGGATGTTCCTTTATCTATTTTCCCATATTGGGCTTAAGAGGGCCCTAGGCCCTAAGCCCTAAGCCCTAAACCCTAAACCCTAAACCCTAAACCCTAAACCCTAAACCCTAAACCCTAAACCCCTAGCTAGGAATATCTTTTCAGAGGTAATTTAAGGGCCACCCGAGGATCCAGTCGTCTGGCAACACCTTTGTTGCCACTCTCGGCGGTGGTTCTGTGCTGACCTGGGGGCGATCCTGGCAAGTGATAGTTTAGGGTTTAGGGTTTAGGGTTTAGGGTTTAGGGTTTAGGGTTTAGGGTTTAGGTGATGGCAGGAATATGCGCCATCAGCCGACGGCAGTGCAGCAGATACACCCGAGAGGTCGGAATAATTACGAATAGTATTCCCTTAGGGTCCCTTTGTAATAATAACCCCCCAGAACCCTTCCGGTTAGGGTTTAAGGTTTTGGGTTTAGGGTTTAGGGTTATGCTATATAGTAACCCCCCCCCCCCCCCCCCCCCCGAAAACCCCTTTCTAATGATTCAGGCCCCTATATACAAGCTGTTGACGATCCTGAGCGTGCGCACGGCCCTGGCAAAATCCTTGTCGCATGAGGGCTGATCCATATTAGCTTTGGGCATGTGAACACGAAAAAACAGGAGTATTTTCGTTCTACACAAGAGACCCAACAAAGAGCCCGCAGTCTACATTCGCGGTCGGAACAATTGCTAGTCGTATTCCCTTATGGTCCTATATACTTTTGCTGCTACTGTCATATGTCATAACCCCCAAAACCCGATTGTTCAGGCCCCTTCTGTTACCCTAAACCCTAAACCCTAAACCCTAAACCCTAAACCCTAAACCCTAAACCCTAAACCCTAAACCCTAAACCCTAAACCCTAAACCCACAGCCCCAGGGTTGCCAATTCAGACATTGCTCAAAATGCATCTTCAAAACACTCCTGGGCTCGGCTCCTTTTCTTGCGGCCAACCGGAAGGGTTTAGGGTTTAGGGCTTAGGGTTCCTGAACCCCAGGCTCTTAAATATGGAACAGCATTATGTCATTGTGTCGGTGACGTGCACCACGTCAATGGCATAGGCTCGCGGTGGAAATCATTTGTTGGCCTTCGGAAATATTGCCTAAACCCATCTTTGGCTACGACGTGCTTGCGCAGGGTATGAATCACATGTTTGAGCTTCACTGTAAACCCTAATCTCAAGAAGTAGTTCCTTACCTGCTGGTTCTTACTCAGGAGTTATAGGGAACTACAGGTACCATCTTTAAAGTACAAGGAGGGGCCCCCCTAGTTATAAGTAGAGTTGAAAGAGCCCTAAGGAGCCTAACTTAGGTTATAAGTCCCTTAATTACGGTTAGTATAGCAAAGGGGCCCCTCCGTGTATGAAATTGGGAACTTGCAGCCCCCGCTCCCTCCATATGAACCTGGAGGCCAAGTCACGGCTCCTTTTAGAGCAGCCGGGCCCCCCCCCTGAAACTCTAGACTAAACCCTAAACCCTAAACCCTAAACCAGTCGGATGAAAGGGGTGGGGGAGCGGGTGCGGGGTGCAGCGTTTAGTGTCCGCGCTTTCGGCTTCCGGAACCCGAGCTCCCCCCATGGTTCTTTTGGATGTCATGTAGGGTTTAGGGTTTAACCCTAAACCCCAAACCCTAAACCCCAAACCCTAAACCCTAAACCCTAAACCCTAAACCCTAAACCCTAAACCCTAAAACCTAAACCCTAAACCCTAAACCCTAAACCCTAAACCCTAAACCCTAAACCCTAAACCCTAAACCCTAAACCCTAAACCCTAAACCCTAAACCCTAAGCAAACTCCAAGCCCTCGGAGGCACGAAGCCTGGATGCCCAGGCCGACATGCAGGTCATCGGGTGCGGGGTCGGAGGGCTTCGGTCTTCTGTAGGCTTTGAGGATTTCAGGGTTTCAGGGTTTTAGGGTTTTAGGTGAAAACAATTAAATAAACTATTGACGGTCTTCTGTAGGCTTTGAGGGTTTCAGGGTTTCAGGGTTTCAGGGTTTAGGGTTTAGGGTTTAGGGTTTAGGGTTTCAGGGTTTCTAGGGTTTGAGGGTTTTAGGGTTTAGAGGTTTTAGGGGTTAAGGGTTTAGAGGTTTTAGGGGTTAAGGGTTTAGAGGTTGTAGGGGTTTAGGGTTTTAGGGTTTAGAGGTTTTAGGGGTTAAGGGTTTAGAGGTTGTAGGGGTTTAGGGTTCAGCGTTTAGGGTTTTAGGGTTTTAGCGTTTAGGCTTCAAAGGGTTTGTGGCTTCGGGTTCAGGGTTTGGGGCTTAGGGTTTCGGGTTCAGAACCCCGAGGCCGAGCAGCAATCGAAACAACAACCCCCAAACCCTAAACCCTAAACGCCCTAAACCATCGCAACCCTAAACCCTTCAACTCCACAGGCGGCGAAGCACAGCCAGCCGCAAAAGCTCAAGCGGCCAGGGCCCCAACAGGAAGCGCAACTGGGGGAAAGACTCAAACCATTAGCCCTGAACCCGAACCCCCTGAACCCCTAAACCCTTGAACCCTAAAACCGAAGCCCCTTAACCCGAAGCCCTAAACCCTAAACACTTGAACCCTGAACCCTAAGGGTTCGAACCTTGTGGATTTGGCAGGACCAGTGGTGCCCTTTGGCCCTTTTTGGGTTCCAGATTCCTCTGTTGAAGGTTTAGGGTTTAGGGTTTAAAGTTTAGGGTATTTAACATGGTTGCTGTGCTACCGCGTGGGTTTCGCGAACCATAAGCTTTCTGCATGGTCGTTTGGAGTTTAGGGTTTGGGTGGGCATGACAATTCTGGGCCTTCATATTATACATTTATGCCCCCGGTGCTACTCTAATGGGGCTGCTTGGTTTCTCAAGGGGTGGATGGTTGGCACACCCTGTTCTGTTTTGCGCAAAGTTCCTTCTCTTCATGGTAAGTTTCCAAGGACGAACTCGTGGATGGGTTCGTTGAGGCATGGCGTGCACAAAGGGAGCGAGACCAGTTTGACGCTAGGGCGAGGGAGATGAAAGCCGGTGCTTCATGGAACTCCAGAGACTTTTCGCCACTTTCCAAGTTCGTGATGGCCGCCGGTCAGAGAAGACACTCGTTGGTGACCAGAATGGGAAGCTCCACGTGCGTGGGCACTTGGGGCGCGACGAGTTCTTCCACGCGAACTTTGACTCCGCTGGTCTCCCCTACACCCTAAACCCCCCCCCCCCCCCCCCCAAACCCTAAACCCAATACCCTAAACGGTGAGGCTTTCTGGAAGAAGAGCAACGCAGGAGATGATGACGACTTCGTTCCGCCTGGTGGCCCTTTAAAACGATAACCCTTTATCGGAGGCTTCACATAATGGGCAATAGGTACCCCCAAACCTACAGCAACTGCGTGGTTTTGGGTTTAGGGTGCCCCTCCCCCCCCCTCCCCCCCCCCACACCCCCCCACACGCACTGCAGGCGAAACCGCTTCCAAGCCGAGGAGTTTCTGGCTGCCTCCCGGCGGTGTTTTTTTTAGGGTTTGGGTCCAGGGTTTAGGGTTTCGGGTCCTTTTATAGGGTTTCACTAAGCCTAAGCTCTTTACCCCAAGCCCTAAACCCAAAGTGCTTTGCTTCATGCATTCGGGTTTACGGCAGCGTCGGGGGGTGAAGGGTTGTGGACGCTGCCAATTCCTAAGCGATGTGGAGCTTGCCACTTCCAAACTTCCAGACCCTAACACCCTAAGCCCTAAGCCCTACGCCCTAAGCCCTAAACCCTAAGCCCTAAGAAGCCCTAAGCCCTAAGCCCTAAGCCCCAAGCCCCAAGCCCCAAGCCCCAAGCCTAAGCCCTAAACCCTAAACCCTAAGCCCTAAGCCCTAAACCCCAAACCCCAAACCCTAAGCCCTAAGCCCTAAACCCGAAGCCCTAAGCCCTAAGCCCCAAACCCCAAACCCTAAACCCTAAGCCCTAAGCCCTAAACCCTAAGCCCTAAGCCCTAAACCCCAAACCCTAAGCCCTAAGCCCTAAGCCCTAAGCCCTAAGAAGCCCTAAGCCCTAAGCCCTAAGCCCTTACCCGCCCTTCCTAAGCCATTCAAAGCTCATAGCAAAGAATCCCAAAGGCACCGAAAGCTCCCAAGCAAGCCCTCCTTCCTAAGCCCGACTTGGAAGCTCGGGTTTAGGGTTTAGGGTTTAGGGTTTAGGGTTTAGGGTTTAGGGTGACCTAGTAAGTCTACTTTGTTTCCCTTAGAAAACCTTTTATCGTCCCTGCCCTTAGAAAACTTTTAGAATCCCCATACCCCACCTTACTATCCCCTTACGTACTGTATTATGTACTGAACCCCAAAACCCGAAACCCCAAGAACCCTAGTTGAGCCCCAAACCCTAAGGCCTCACCACTTTGGCAAAGCGGGGCGGGCGCCTGGCGCCGCACCCTGGATTCTGTCCGGGCCCTTGGGGGTGTCCAGGGAGGGTTTAGGGTTTTAGGTTTTAGGGTTTAGGGTTTAGGCTTTAGGGTTTAGGGTGGGTTTTAAGCTTTTGGGGTTAACGGGTAGTTGAGGCGTCTAGGTAGGGTGCAGGGTTTGAGTAGGTTTAGTTTGGTCCTGATGGGGGGCTTGCAAGGTAGTCTGGAGACAGCAGAGTCTTCAGACACCATGTGTGCAAGGAATTCAAGATGAACCTTTACACCTATGCGCCCTAACCTGATTGCTAAGCCCTAAACCTTAAGCCTCAAAACCCTAAGCCTAACCCTCAAACGGAGGTTCCCTTTCTGGACCTTCATGCGCAACACCAGGCACACTTTTTGATTCAAGGACCCTAAACTTTGAACATCCTGAACCCTAAACCCTCGTAATCCAAGTAGCACGAGATGTTGCTCCATGTAGAGCTGAAAGCCCTAGTCATCGAGGTCGAACATCGGGGCTTGATGGGCTCTAAGGATGTATGGTTTAGGGTTTAGGGTTTATAGGGTCTAGGTTAGAATATAACGGACGTCAAAATACTTTGTATGTAACATATGATGGAAGTGCGATATGAAGTTCCGCTCTTGCTGGTTTATGTCTTCGCAGGTTTCAGGCTCTCCCTCCCATGTAGGCGCTAGGATAGCGCTAGTGTGGCGCTAGGTATTCCTTTCCAAAGCTGACATGGTATGAGCTGAGGATGCGATGCTTACTTGCGAAACATTAGCTCCAGTAGTTCCGAAGATGACGCCTGAGTTTCAAAATGAAGGCATTAGTCGGCGTTAGTGTTTTGCGAGGTTTTTGCATAGGGTACAAAATCAGTACCAGACTTCTGTACTTGCCAAAGCCATCGTTC